GGCATACCAATATTTAATATGTGTGACATAATATAGTAAAAAATAAATTTGTTTAAATTTTTTATTTGTATTAGAAAACCTTTGTTTATAAATATATAATGTGAAAAAATTAAAGGATCCCACTGTTGTTTTATATTGATCAGAAATATGGGAAAACCTTATATTACATAAATGCTCAATGTGTAGTGAGAAAAAATAGATTTGAATACTAACAATCTTGGACACACTCATGTCCTTAAAATTTTTTAAAGCATTATGTAATAATGAAAAATATATTTATTTTGTATTAGTGAGGAAACCCTTGTTGTCCTGTAGAGAAGATTGTAATAATCATAATCTATATTCACTAAATGATTCCTCTCATATGAGGAATCTAAAATAGTCAAACTCATAGAAGTAGATAATAGAGTTGTGATTACCAGGGAATGGATGAAGGGAGCGATGGAGAGTTGTTCTTCAATGGGTATAAAGTTGCAGTCGTACAAGATGACTAAGTTCCAGAGATCTGCTGTACAACATAATACCCATATTTGACAATAAGGTATTGTTCACTTAAAAATTTGTTAAGAGGGTAAATATCATGTTAAGCATTCTTACACTAACACAACAAAGGGATACAGGAAACTTTTGGAGGTGATGGATATGTTTATTACCTTGATTGTGGTGATGGTAACACAAGTCTATACATATGTCCAAACTCAACAACTTGTATACATTAATTATGTGTGGTTTTTTGTCTACCAATTGTACCTCAGTTAAGCTGGAAACAATAAAAAATTTAAAAAAATAATAATGATAATCTATATCCCAATTTTCTTCAACAGCATCTACAAAAACTTAAATAGAGGTGAGCCAAGAACTGTTTGGCAAAGACCCCTCACCGTCGTTTGCCTGAGTTAGCAATGCTTCTCTTTCTCAAAGATCTCCCATTTGATGCAAATAGAATGTCTCTCGTTCAATAGCAAATTTTCATGAAATTTATGATTTTTTCACTAGGTAAAAGAACTTCTATAGAGTCTTCTTCCATTATTCCATTACCCCCAGACCATACTGTCTACATCGCATGGATTGGGCTGTCTGACATCACTGAATGACCACTGGCAGCCCACGTATCACACTGTCATCCCCTGTGCAGGCTATAACAAATCATTCTTCATTTCATGTTAACAATAGTATGAATCTTTGAAAGGCTAGTGACTTCAAAGTCTTTTAGAGTAAGTCCATTGTTTGAATGTTAGCAGTATTTCAACCCATAGTGAAATGATCTTCCACTGAACAATGGAATTTTTAAAACAAATCTTGTGCAACTTATATTCTTTTATCTTCTGATGGCATTATGTAGAGGAGTCTTATACCCAAAATTAGATTATAGTCTTCCTCTGGGAAATTAGATTTAAATCCTATCGTCTGGGAAAGACCATAATTTGTTTGTTTGTTTGTTTTTTCATATGTCCCACAGTGTTTAATATGGGATTGAGCACATTAAAAACTATATTAGACCCTTACTATGCACTATATATTCATTACATATGCATTCAAGAATACTCTCAGAGATCCTTGACTCCCCAGGTCCAACACATTTTCTTGTTTTTAAATAGATCAGATTTTTTTTGTGCCTCAGACATTTGGAGAATATGGTGAAAGCTGTGGATCCTCTTCCCTCCCACAAAACACATAGATTGGAGGAACTGCTTTATCCAAATCTCTACTCCAACCTTTCATGTTAACTACAGCCATCATTTTCTTAGACCTCTTTACTTTCCTTCAACTTGTATCACTGGTGACATCAAACAATTAACAAGTTTACCGCCCAGAAGTAGAGAATAACATTGCAGAATCGAGGTCCATATGCTAGGTCGTCTGCTAGGTTCTTTCATCAGCTAAATGACTGCCCGACATCAGCTGTTCAGTAAGGCGTTCAAGAGTTTCTAGAAAAAATTCTAAATTGCCGTTTGGTAGGTTCTGTTTGGGTTGTTGGCAAGTAGTCAAATTTTTGAAAATTAAATCTGCTGATGACTAAGGTTCATTGAAAATTAATAATTATTAATGAATGATTTATTGATTAGTCTGGGATGTGGAAGAAGCAGACACAGTAATACTTAAGGACCTTATGTAAATGTAAAAGGGAGGGAACAAATACTAAAAGCATTTAGCAAGGGAATCTTCAGTGCCTGCAAACATCTATTCTTTGCGAGAACCAAAGCCCTGGTCAAGGAGAGGACCCATGACCTGTTCATGGCCCTGTCATGGTAACGTGTCTCCTAGCCACAGGAGCATGCTGCATAGGTCTAGGAAACAAGCGAGGTGTTGGAGAATGCTACCTTGAGTTTGGATATATACATGTGGAGAGACTCTCTTTTCTCTTTTCCCTTTGAAATATGAGACTGAAGAATATAGGACTGGGGCTTCTGGTGGCCATGTTTCCTGCCATTTGGAAAGGAGAGAGGGAGGAAGAAAGAGTGGGAGATGGAGAGAGAACAAACTACATTGAGTCTGAATCCCTGTATTTAGTTCTGTCTGATGATAGATTCACTCTGACCTCCCAGTTATGTGTGGTAATAAATTACTTTTTTGACTTAAGCAAGTTTGAGCTGGGTGTTTATTACTTGTGACTATAAAAGTTTTGATCAATGCATAGTTTGAATTGTGCAAAGTAGCTATGGTTTAGTGTCTGGGTGAAGCACCTTCCGAAGTACTTTAGTCATAGAGCATTGCGCGTATCGAGATGTGCATCTTCCTTTATTCCTCCACTGTGAAAGTCCCAGAGCCTATCAATTTGATGTACAGTCACTTAAGTCAGGTTATTTCTTACTAATGTTTTTTTTCTGTTCACAGTGAATCCTCCCTCATATGTAACTGCCTCATATTAGTTGGCAGTTATTAAAATGCACAGATTGTATCTTCATCCTCTTGTCTTACTAAAAATTTATAAGTGATGCTGCATTTTTATACTGGAAGTTTATGAATATTTTAAGAAGTATGCTGAGTTGCACAGACTAGCGTCCATTCAACATATGTAGAATACTTTTTTTTTTTTTTGGCTAAGGAAGATTGGGCCTGAGTTAACATCTGTGTCAGTCTTCCTCCACTCTATATGTGGGTCACTGCCACAGATGGCTGACAAGTGGTGTAGGTCCATGCCGAGGATCCAAACCTGTGAACCTGGGCCACTGAAGCAGAGCACATCAAACTTAACTGCTATGCCACAGGGCCAGTCCCAGTAGAATACATTTTTGTTTTGCAGTATTGTGAATTGATTTTAGTTATTTGGTTTTCTTGGGCAAAAATATGTTAAAACACCCTGAGCCTTCTAATTGACCATATGAATAACCAAAACTTTTATTATTGTTTAGGAAGCCATAGCATAACCATATAGCCATTTAATGTTTTATTACGTACAGTGGTGAAACAGGAGACTTGAAAAATCTCTTACTGTATTGAGGACTCTTTAACAATTTCTTATAAACATTTTTGCTTCTCATAGAAACTAGAGACATTTATAAATGGTGACTGCTATCTTTAAATAAGGTACTCTAGGCTCTGGCAAAATTATACTTGCCAGAAAAATAAAATAAAATATATTTATACATTGCAACAAAGCAAAATAACATATAAAGTTTGTAAAATTCCCTTGAATATTTCTTCATTTTTTAAGAATATATCCTTGTTGGTTATTTTCATTAGAGAATAAAAATTAAATGAATGGATATTGTTTGTCATTATCTTGAGTGTTGTGATGGGGTTTCCCCTCAGGCCCACCCCTGTTGCCTCAGGAGATGTAACGTAAAGGGTAGAATTCATTCTGCATTTGCAACAGCCTTTTGCTTATGACCACAGAGCTTGGCTGTGAAGTGCCATAACCCTCTGCATATCCATTCTAAAACCACATGAGCTCTGCCAATCAAAGAGTTCTGAACAGCTCAGATGGCAGAGACCACAGGAGGAGTGCAAGTATTATCTACATGTTGTTTGGATGAATTTTGTTGGGAGAGGAGGACACTAAAACCTTTTTGTCTAGTATATGACTTTTATAGATCTGAAACTCCAGCTCATTGTAATTAAAAGAGTCCATCACTAGCATAGAGAAGAGAAGCACTCCTACTTTTGGAATATCCTAAAGTTAATGGCTACTATCTCAAAAATAGAGATGAAGTGGTGAATCAACTAGAATTCCTTAATGGCAAGCAACAGAAACTAACTGTGGATAACTTAAGTAGGAAAGGAAATTTACTGGCTCACATAATAAGAAAGTTCAAAGGGCAAACTATCTTATACATTACTGAATCCAGTGGATTATGTTTGGTCAAAAGTACTCATTCTTGATCTCTCAGCAACGTTTTTTCCTTTATTGGCTCCATTTTCAGTAAAATGGTCTCCATATGTTATCAAAAATGGTCACTGGTAGTGGCAGACTCTGTCCTCTTCTGCTCTCACCATTTCAGAGAAAAAGATACCTCTTTATTGATTATTTGAGCAAAATTTCCAGGGAGGACCCTGACTGGGATGATTTGGATCTGGGGCATATCCCTGACCCAATCACTTTGGCCAGGAAAGAGAAGAGTCTGATTGGTTAAGCTGGGTTATGTGCCCATCTCTGTGTGAGAAAGGCAGGTGAAGTGCTTGACAGCTCCAGTGCATTTGAGTCAGGGATGCATAAAAGAAAGGAAGAGAAGGAGGAGGAATAGGTTGAGAGGAACTTGTGCCTTAGTGGTGACAATGACAGCAATGACTTTTGATAGGAAAGGGGCCATGCAAGGGGTTGACAAGTTGTGACCCATATTTGTAACTAGTTCTACTTTGTTTCTGAAGCTGAGAGAGAAGACATGGAGCTGGGAGGAAAAAGGGAGGAAGGAAACACAAGAAAAAACCCTTAGGAATTAACCTCTGCCAATGACCTGATTCACCCAGGTGGTTATTGCCGTTTCTGATTCTCTGCTACAATGGAGATATTACTAAGGTGGGAGTTTCTTTCAGTTTCTCTCTTTCGTTTTGCCTTTTAGGTGGACAAAAAAATCGTAAGAACTGAGATAGGAGTTCTTCTTCGCCTCTCACATCCAAACATTGTAAGTGGTTTTTAACCTACTGTTTCAAATAATCTCCAGAGTTACAGAATGAGATCCTTGTTCTGTACTGTACATACTGATAAAGAGCAGGGAATTCTCCCACCACCGTTAAGTGGCCACCGTGGCCTAGCTCTGGTCTTCCTCATCTGATCACATTTTTCAATCCTTTAGCTGAATAAATCTTAAAAATTATACCCTTTGAAAGAGTTTCAAAATGGACAGATTGGCAATATATACTGTCTTTATTTTCATGCATAAAAGGACAACTGAAAATTGGAGAGTTTTGTTTCCCTCTTATAAAACACTGGCCTTTTCTTTTTATGTGCCTTTCTTATTAATATATACCATTGCTAAAAAAGCTTGTGAAGAAAATGCATTGCTTTCCAAAGTCATTCCAGTCTCCTTTGAGAGAGTATATGCTTCAGAAACAATGTGAAGATTCAAATAAATGGTGTGCTTGAGTGGGGAAAATAAAGTATCTTTAGAAGCTCTGCTCTAGGCTATGTCCAGACAAAGGCACTGAGAGAAAGGTCTGGTGAAAAGCTTTCTTGAGCCAATGAAGTGAAAAGAACAAAATCATTTTCCAGGCCATAACTTGTTTTTATGAATTGAGCCAACTTCTTAAAGAAAATACTCATGTCTCTGAGAAAGTTGTGGTAGCCAGGAGGATGACCTGCAATGCATGGTTTCTAGGCAAAGGGCATAAAACTTAGTATATGAGTTAGCAATGCATTCAGCTATAAATAACAAAGACTTGAATATGGTGGTCTAAAAAAATATTTTCCTTATAAGAAATCAGAAAGCAGACAGTTGCTAGCATTTGTTCAGCTCCTCAGTGAAGCCATCCAGGACCCAGATGCCCTCTATCCATTGGTTCTGCCATCCTCAGTCCACTGGTTTTCACCCTCCTGCTTTTCCCTCATGGTCCTGAAATGGCTGCTCCACGGTCTTCACAGATCTTTAGGTCTATATTTAAGACAGAAAGAAGTGGAAATGCCTTATCAGCAGAGTCTGATGAGAAGAGTAAAAGCTTTTCCAGAATTTCCAGCTGCAAAATTCTCTTCAGATTTTATTGGCCAAAGCTGGTCACAGGATCACCCTTAACTGCACAGAGACTGGGAAATTGGGGAACAGGATTATCATAAGTGGCTGAGCCCAATCATGATCCATAATTTGAGGCTAGGCACATCGCTTCCCTAAGCAAAATCAGAGGTCTGTTTGTGATAAGGTAGGGGGAGAAGGGCTTTGGGTAAGCAGTTAACAAAATTTGCCACATACAATCACCACTTTTATATTATCCATCTTTTTTATTTCAAGGAGAAGTCAATGTGGAATTTTCCTCAAAGGTGGATCAGTCCTGGTCATTAGATTCTTGCATGTGTATTGAGGGAAATATCCAAAATTGGATGGACTATCTGAATATGATGAAAACCCTGTTATGGTCAGTCAAATCACTGTCACCACTATGTGTCTGAGGGTCCCTTCACCCACCAGCAACTTTTTAGCTGTTGAGGGATATCATTTCCACACAGACAGACTTTAACCGGGTCCCATTCTACCTCAGACACCTAATGTCAAGTTCTTTCCCAGGAGAAAGAGACATTTGTGTCTTTAGCAAACACGAAGCTTTCAAATAGTATAGGAAGTTTTATTTGTTTGCGTTTCTTTTTCTTTAATTCTGGAGCAATTCAGAAATTGGAATGTTTTGGCAAAATTTAGGAAGTGTTTCTAAGGCGAGTATCTTTCAACTGTCAAAAGGAACAACATAAAACTCAAAAGGATCTTTGAAGAAATGAGGTAACATAAAAATAATAGGAGAATGACAAATGGCTGCCTGCTACTAGAATGAAGAATCTCTATTAACAGTGATCCAACATCTTACTATTACAGAGAGTGTTGTTTTAGCCATGGTTTTAACTATTTCCTAGAAACGTGAAAATAAGGAATTGGTGATTTTTTTTTCATCTCTTTCCCCAGATAAAACTTAAAGAGATATTTGAAACTCCTACAGAAATCAGTCTGGTCCTAGAACTCGTCACAGGAGGAGAGCTGTTCGACAGGTGAGTTGATTCTGGAAATCTAATCACAGCAAAGTTTTGCTTCTAGTCACCAAAAAAGAATCAAAGGGAAATTTCTCCTGAAATTTTTCATAATGACATATCACACCAGTTGATGGATTCTACCAAAATGAATCTTAAGAGGAGTGTAGAATGGAAGGAGAGTGATATTTGATAAGATGTGCGTAGACAAAAATTTGGGATGCTTAGTGAATATAAGGAGAGAGACACTAACATCTATTTCTTTTGCAAACATTTACTTCCCCAATAAAAAATAGAATTTCTAAAGTCATACTAAATCTAAACTAAATAGTAAGATTTATTAGAATATTTTATGAGAAAATATGTGGTGAAAGTTATGGAAAGTTACACATGTATTATAATAGTATTCTTTTTTTTTTTTTTTTTTTTTGTGAGTAAGCTTGGCCCTGAGCTAATATGTGTTGCCAATCTTCCTCTTTTTGCTTAAGGAAGATTGTCACTGAGGTAACACCTGTGCCGATCTTCCTCTACTTTTGTGTGTGGGATGCTGCCACAGCATGGCTTGATGAGCGGTGTGTAGGTCCATGCCTGGGATTCAAACCCATGAACCCCAGGCCACTGAAGTGGAGCACGTGAACTTAACCACTATGCCACTGGGATGCCCCCTATCATGCTATTGTTTTTTATGACCTGAAAGCTCACAAAAATCAAAACTCTTCAAATGATTACTTTTAGGCCTACTTTCTCTATTAGGCCATGTAAAGAGTTCCAAGTTACAGAGTAAAACATATTCTGTTATATTATAGCCAATTTTAGTTGTCTGTTCACATGCTCATCACTCAAGGCAGAGGTTTTGAGGATGGCAGGGAGTATGGCTGGAAATCTGGTAGAGCATAACATAGGCAAACTATACAAGAGACACAAGCTTTACGTTTCCATGGCTTTCCCACCTTCCCTGTCTTCTCAGGAGAATTCTGTTTTCCCTATGGGCTCTTGGGGGCTTTTTGCTGTGCTCATCAGGGTAATCAAAAAAGAATGGAATTGGAAGAAGACAGAGTCTGAGTAGGCATATATTAGAAATGCTAAGAAGCTATGCACTGATATAAAGGTCTTATTGGTTAAAGAATGTGTTAAAAGAGAAGTGGGCTGCAGGCAGAAGACAGAAGAGAGATTGAGAGAACTGTTACTATAGCCTGAGTGCCTGGAACACAGTAAATTCTCAAAAACTATTTGCTGAATGAATGAGCAACCAGGACAACGAATGGACTCTGAGGAGAAAGATATCTGAAGCGGGTAGGTTTAGAATGTGTTGGGAGAGGAACACTCCTCCCCTTTCTTCCCACCCTAACTCCACGCAGTTAAATTTGCTGCCTCTTCAAGAGCTTCCACAAGCGTTCATATTGATTTTTAAAGGCTCTGTCCACGTTTAGTATTACCCAGTGCAGATTTGGATCTTCAAGTAGGAAGGCGCAAAATGGCCCAGCTTGATTGGAGCTACATATGTAACTTCAACAGATAATATCAATTTTGTTTGTATATATGTTCAAGTTTCCTTAGAAACTTCAGAATTTAAATTTTAAAATTATAACATTTAAACTATGTTCATTCTTTTCAAATAAATGATTCCACTGAGAGAAGTAAGCGTTAGAAGCCTAAAGGCATATACTTCTTGTGGCAGTTGGCTGATAGTCAGACTCATGGTTCTAAATCCTGGCTTAAGGGACAAATAACTAACCTAGGGTGATTTGCCCAACTTCTCTGAAACTCAGAACAAATTTGAAGCGGTTCTGTGCTGGTCAGGAAGCTGAGACACTGATCCACTATGAGGACTGTCTTGTTCTAAAACCATCATGTTTCCGTCTGCTTAGTCAAGACCCTTCTGGACTAGCTTGTTTGAATGTTGCCAGCATTTGCCAGTAATGACTCCTTTTTCAACTCTTCTTTAGCTGACTCTTTCATGGACATGTTCTTCTTTAGGTACATTAATAGAGTCTATTTATAGTTGGATCCTGCTGGCCTTGGAGCCATGAGATCTCTCTAAGGAGAACTTATATATTACTCTGCAAATTATGGTCTATCATGGAGAAATCTCATGTTCTTTAATTGTAAATAATTTCAGGACAAGGATGTCACACTAAAACCTGTCATCTACCAATAGCACTTCCTATTTCCCTACCTACCTCTATTTGTTTGCATTATTTTGGAATAGAGTCTCTTTTCTTCCCTCTTTCCCAACGTTTCTTTCATTAAAGAATTTTGGTTCTCTAATCTTGTAGTCTAGTTGATTTTGAAGAGATAGAGTTAGTTCAGCTCTAGATACAAATGAAAAACTAAATGCTGTTGATAAATTTCACTTACAGAGATAAATGGATGAAATATTCACATTTAACAGGAGACATCTAAAGAATGGCAGATAGCCAGTAAAGCACTCAACCACTCTATAAACTCTTAGTGGTCATAGATGATAGACTTTTTTTCTCCCTGAATGCTGTTGTCCACATCATCACCATATCTGAGATGAATTTGGTTTTTCCATTAAGTTACTTGATTCTACAGTTATCTTTAAAATTGTATCAAGCTGAAATATATCCTACATTATTATCCATGTATTGCTTTCTTTCTTGAGAGTTAAAAATCATAATATGGTCTCTTTTTCCTGTACTTAGGTCAAAACCAAATTTACTTAATTGTGATGATAAAAATTCATTCCTGGTCTAATGATGACTCTAATAGTATCTAATGAATGAACTAATGGAGCAATTAATGGAAGGATAATCATGTTAGTCCATTAAAGTCAAAATGGTTGTATTTTATTAGCTAAAGATCTATTTTATGGTGCTTCTAAAAAAATAAACATAGTAAAAATCCAAGTGGAATCTGCTTTTTCATGTAGAATATAAATCATAAATTGCATAGGACAATTGATTAAAATTTTGGAATAAAGTCAGTGTTTTTTTATATCCAAGAAAATCCCCAAAAATAGCTATGCAAAATTATGACATCATGGGAAAAAGAAAACTAGAAATTTTCTGCTCCATCCTTCTCAATCTAGTCACAACTCTTAAAAAATTCATTGAACTTTTTAAATGGACAAGGTGTAAGGTTGTTTGCTTTAAGAGTAAATTTTCAAGGTTTTTTTCCCAGCAAATCACTGTATTTTAAGGCAACTAATTCAGCAGTATCCTTATCTTCTTCTAATTAGATTTAAAAATTTTTTTGGCTTTTTGTCTAACTCCAGTATCAGCATGTCTTGTGGATTTTTAAATTTTCTTGTTTTTTCTGTGTTCTTCTTGTGTTTTGGCTTGCCTGATGATGCTTGTTCAAATGCCAAACATTATGTATAAAAGGTTTTAGAATTTGAGGTTTTAAGTATTTTTGCCTTCCAAAAGAACAGATTTTCTTTTGCTGCAGCAGATAGTCGAGGAAAGGAACAGATGACTTTAATTCACTCAGGTATAGGGCTGATTCAAAGCGGGGCCCCCGAGGTCTGGTCTGTTTCTTTTCTACTCTTCGTCATAGGGTTTTGCTCTTTAAAGGTCCTAGTTTAAGCCAGGGGATTTTGCCAGGGTCCTCTTCCTTGACAGACCCTAAATGCCAACGTCTGTTCCCGCCACCCTGTGAGGTGGCCAGAGCTTTGTTCAGCTTCTCAGCCTGTCAGCTGCTGATGTGGGATCAGGAAATGCCTACAAAGGGAAAGCAAGGGCATCAGATGCTAGGTTTGCTTTGCTGAGTTTTTCTTCTCTCCTGGATCTTGGCTCCTGAAGCCTTCACTTCCTTGGTAACTCTCTGATGTCTTCAAATATACTTTTAAAAAATATTTTATCTGGCTTGTTTTCATTGTTGTTACCTGGAGGCTTGTCTACTTCACCATGGCTGAGGGCAAAAATTCAATACATATGGTTTCAAAAGGTCTTTCACAGACACTAGCGCGTTTTCCTCTTTTATGTCAACCCTTTGGGGCAAGCAAGATGAAAAGCATTATCCCCACTACACAGATTTGGAAACTGAGAATGAGTACAAGTAAATGATCTTCACAAATTAGGCAGCTGGACTGTCTGCTGGTCCAGTTCTTTCCTCTTCATATACCGTCTTTCTTATTAAATATAGTCCATCTCTTTCACGTAATTTCCAAGAAAATAAACAGTTGTTCATTTGGTTTAGAGATAATCCATGATGTATTGTGGAGAGTCCATGATTTATTGGTTGTATATATGCAAAGGCATCTGTGTATTTAACCCACTAATGACACTTCACGGTTTTTGAGGTATTATTATCCCTGTTTTTTCAAGAGCATAAACTGAAGAAATTGATAAGTCATATAGTCAAGCTTGAAGCTCATATCTATCTGACTCTGAACATTTTTTTCATGTTTTTTTTGTGTATGGGTAAGATTGTCCCTGAGCTAACATCTGTGCCCGTCTTCCTCTGTTTTTTTTGTGGGGGACACCACCACAGCATGGCTTGACAAGCAGTGCTAGGTCTGCACCTGAGATCTGGGCCTGCGAGCCCCAGGCTGCTGAGGTGGAACTCATGAACTTAACCGCTGCACCACCGGGCTGGCTCCTGAACCATTTTTTTTATTTCTCATTTTCCAAAAACTGAAAATAGTCTTTTTGTAAACTACAACAAGTCATCAATATGCAAGAGAAGTAGAGGCTATGTTTGGGGGCTTTGCATTTAGCCTATTAATTACCTGACAAAGTCAGAGTGTATCAGTCCTAATAGTCATCTCTACTTCAACATTTTCAGGTCTCTTACCCTTGGTAGAAATAAATGGAATTTTTAGGACATTGTCATTAGAGAAATATCCCAGAAATAGAACTTAGAGTTTTTAATGACTCAGTCTAGAGCTGTGTCATGGTTGGTATTTTTGTTAACAAAACTCAGAACACATCTGAATTTGTGAAGACTGTTATGCCAAAAATTAGTCATTAATGTAATTGTCTAAAGCGAAGATCTATAAAATCTGATTGTGTAAAAAATATAATTAGTCACTATAATAGGCGTTTTTGAGTGCCTAT